CCCCCTCAAAAATTGCCTCAGCCCTTTTATGTTTATGATCATGTTGTTGGTGTGTTCACATGTCTCTCTCTCTCTCTCTCTCTCTCTCTCTCTCACTCTCTCTCTCTCTCTCTCGCTCTCTCTGTGGCCCTGATGCGTTGTTGTAACTTGTTATTTATACAAAACCTCCTTGTCCGCTGTACTCATGTATGGTGCAAGTTGGCCCTGGCTATTCCTTGTCTTTTATTTTATCTGCATCTATGAATGCACAAGATGTACATACGTGCCTGTGTTTGCATGTGTGTGTATGTGTGCGTGTCTTTGTGTATGTGTGTGTGTGTGTGTGTGTATATATAAATGTATGTCTGTGTGTGTATATATCACATAATTTGTGCATGCTCATTTTTCAACAGTGCTGGAGTGTTATCACGATTCTGCTTTCAGATGTTGCTATTTTATTTGAATCTTTTATGTCCGATGGTTTGATTCCACTCTTCACATTTCCCGGCCAGCCTGCACCTCTGATGTTTTGAGGAATCAGAATTTGGATTTTTGTTCATTCGCACGAGCTTGTAACAAAATGCACCACCCCGTGTTGAGGCTCGAAAGTTTCAGTTGCAACTGGTTTGACGATTTGGTACTGGTTTGACGATTTGGTACTGGTTTGACGATTTGATGATGTCAAACCAGTCACGTTTTCCTTTTTTGCAAGTTGTGTGTGCAAAAATGTGTTTCTTTTTATTTTCGTGTGGAATAATGAGCTTTAGGGAGGTTTAGGTTTACAATACGACATATGTGTCGCGGCACGGTGGAATCAGGCGCTCGTCAATTTTTGGGCATGTGGAGTTATTGGTATCATCTGAAAGCTTATTCGTTTGTCTCGCTTTCTATGAAGAGTTACCCATCTATCTTGAATAAAAGTTGAGATATTTGCTGTTGAAGAAGGTGAGATCACCTGGCGTCAATGGTAGAATTAGTGAGGAAATGGCCACTATAGCTTGATAACTTCAATAGCTTGAGAGGACTTAAAAAGTTTTTCAGAAAAAATTTACTTAGAAATGTGTTTTTATGTGCAGATCTTCAGAAAAGGTGTTAGGCCAAAAAACAAAAAAATTCAATAAAAATTGTCAACTGGTGGAAAAAATGCCTGTTTATTAGATTTCTTTTGGGTTTTTTTAACGAGCTCCTGATTTCACCAAGATGCTTCACATATGTATTGCTTTCACTCTGTGTGTGCTCTGGCCGTTTTGTTCGCTAAATGTCGCTTTAAATGATTTTATTTTCTACACGGCTGGTGCCCAGTCTGGTAGCAAAGGGATGAAATGATGAAGGCTGATGGAGAGGTGGTGTGTGTTTGTGTATGTGTTTGTGTGTATGAGTGTGCATATGTGTATAGAGCACAAATAGAGAGAGGAAGTCCTTGCATTTATAAGACAGTGATTGTTTATGTATTTGCTTTTTTATTTAAGCTGTTGGACTTTCAGATGCCAAAAATTTCTCTCTCGTCAAAGATGTTGCTGCGCGTATTTTTCTATGTGATGAGTCTGATTTTTGTTATAATTTTTTGGGATTTTGTAATGAGTCTG